GCAACGAAGCATGAAAGCCATTACCATCAAACTTAGCTGCGCTGGTCATTGCCTGGATGGGGACCCCGAGACGGTCCACACCAATGGCTGGAGACATTGTCAGACATGGCCCAGTCGCACCCTCAATGGCGCTCATGCATCCAAGCTATTGACTTCAATGCACAGCTTCCTTCCCAATCCTCACACATAACAGTCCACCTACAGTGCTGTATTCACGCACTAATTTATCATCTCCCGCCTCCAATGCGCAGCTACCTACTCCATTTCCCCGAATCGTCGGTGAACGAAACTGTGGCAGCTACAACCACAGTACGACGGGTACGCGGTTATTACAGCTGACAATGATGATGATGATGAAAAGACGAGACTTTTGATTGGATAGTTGGTCTCATATGCCAGTCACCTTGCTGTTTTCGAAAAAGTACTTGATTTTGATCTTGCCTTCTAAAGGTTCAGTTTGACAGTCGTGAACAGTGTGGTGGATCGTGTCGTCGCTTCCACTTGTACGAAGTATTCAGAGAACAAATGAAAAAAACAAAACAAAGTTTGTGGTCAAAACCGCCAGAACGGATAGGATGACATGACTGGATGCCTGACATGGTGAGCCTTTCGAACCCCAACCTCACAGACTACACGGAGTGTCATAGATAAGGCTCGTTGTTCATCCTTCTTCTCGAAGCCAAGCGATGTCCATAATCTCTTCGACAAACGGGGAACAGGGAATCAACCAATCACCTGATACATGATTAAGAAAGCCTTGCTGGTGCAGCCGTATAGAATCATCGATTCGCTGAGCAGCTCATTCCCTAGTATCTCTCGTTCGAAAATTTGTGTTCAAAAGCACCGGTCAAAATCAAGCTACTTCTCTTGCAAACCAGTATGGTTTCGCAGGAAATTCACCTGGGACCCAGCTGAATCTATCGTTTGTGTTGCCTTTAAGCAACTGAATGTGCTGCACTAGAACGCCTCGTGTTTTAGTTGGTACAATATTCGAGACTGTATACTGGTAACACACTACTCACAAGGTTGCTGAAAAATCTTCGACAGCCTACGACCGGTTTCGCCCTTATTGAGGCTTATCAGGTACGCGCAGTCCACCATTTACCTTCAACCTATTTGAACACAAATTGCAAACAAATTTATTTTTTCTAGAGACTCACCTGGAACCCAGCCGAATCTCTCGTTTACGATGGGCTGTCGAAGAGTTTTCAGCAAACTTATGAGTAGTGTATTAGGCCCATTTCTTTAAACTTCAGTGCACAGTGGCCAAGATACTAGAACGTAAAGAAACCTAAGACGCAATGTCGCTTTTTGATAAGGGTGCGAGCTCGAGTTGGATGAAAGCAGAGTTGGCTTCCGGTGATGTGTTCGCTTTTGGTCGATATTATCAATCCCTTGTCGTAACTGTCGAACAACCTTTGGGACTCAGCAGCTCCCATGTCTCCGAAGTGACTTTCCTGACTGCTCTGGTCAAAAGCCAGTGAACAGGAGCTGAATATTTCAACCGCAGTAAAACCTGCGTTTCAGTCTTTTATGAAGTATGAACTAACGGAACATTGACATTCAGATTCACTGACCGTTTGACCTGGAATTCTGTGAGTCGAATGGTCAGCTTTGAAGGAACGGTCGGAAGCGATGGCTACAGAGCGGTGTACACCTCAGAACGTAGTAACCGTTACTTATTCGAAAAAATCAGATACCATTAGCGTTGACAGCAGCGTGCAGTGTGAATTGGCGTGGCCATTTGGGTATCATTCACAAAGACGTTCGTCTAGCATCGGTTCTACTTGGATTCGTCATCGTTAGTTAAGACTACGCGAAGTGTTATGCAGAAAGGAACTCTTTATGTTGCTCAGTATGAAGTCAATTAATTGTTCACTTCTTTGGTACCCTAAAAGTACTCGAGTTGGCTGATTCTCCGGGGTTTCTGAACCAAGTCTAAAAATATCCCTTTTACCTAATCCGTTCCACCGAACTTAACGGCTCACAGTTGATTCTGCTGAGGGGAGAATGTTGGCACCTTATCAGCAGGTTGTGTTGTATGCACATGTGTCACCAGTGCTAATCGGTGACCCAGTAGCTGTCCTGGTTGTGTTACCTGATCGACCTCCTAGTCAGTACTCAAAGTCAGGTAGTTCCGTGGGCCTGCTTGGAAACTGTCTTCACTGTTTTTAGATGACTTTCAGAATTTGTAGTCGGCCTGATAGGAGCAGATTTCGAGTCCAGTTCTTCCACTCTTGTTGAAACTAACCGCAATAGCCAAGCCATGACAGAACAAGGACCGTCTGAACTTCATAGATGTAGATACGGTAGTGTTTCCGACCACGTTCTAACGTCTCCCTTAAATTTTCCAGCAACGAAACTATACTGTCATATAAAATGCATAGAAGAAATTTTTACGGTTGTCGATCCAACTATCTGATAAGGACACGTCATACGCGGTACACACCAAGTTTGACATTCACGGTTGAGAAACAGGAAAGTGTCATCCTTATTTTCGTGGCGTGGCATCAAGATGAAAAAACGACGTTATCCATACTGGGCGGGTTGGCGGGAAACAGAACCACACAGTGCAAATCTTGGCATTTTTACGGACCGTACTTGCACGGACCATCTCACCCACTGCTTGAAATATCGAGAGAGAGAGAGAGAGAGAGAGAAAACTGCGTTCCGCTGAGACTTTAGAATGGAGAATCAAGCATAGTACGCAGTAGCTTAGGCAAAGCAAAACTGCCGCATAATGACGAAAGGCGTGGTGGCTTGCTTCGCAGGACAAACCACATTATTTCTTCACAACCAAAGGAAGAGATGACGAACACAGGAATGACATAGACATCTCACTCAGCTCTGAAGGACTTGGAAAACTGCCTTCAATGGTTTATTCGTATAGGTATGTTCACGTTTTCGGCGCATAACGAACAAACCGGCTAGGTCTTAAGACCAGACGGCTGTCACAACGTGTTCATGGAGCTTTGTAACGGAAACTACTCACAAGGTTGCTGAAAACTCTTCGGTAGCCCACGACCGGTTTCGCCTTTCTTGGGGCTTATCAGTCCCCAAGTTTCCGTCAACCTGAAGCTTTCGATTTTCTGATCATCATGACGGAAGACCGTTGATTTCGCGTGTTTATGCCACGGATAACACCTTAGTAGTGACAGAACAAAACAGACTATCATCAAGCACCTATATCTGACCGTCCCAAACTTCTGACCCGCAAAATTTACACCAACGTTTTGTGGTATCACATCACTCCGATCAACAGGTCATTCGTCCCAGTCACTTGATCATATTCGCAAATTAAAATACATGTACAGTGGCCTGATCGATCGGGTCGATTCATAGTCACCAAGTATACACCAGGTATAATCTCGCAATTTTGTCTACTCAGTACATGCAGTACATGCAGCATTGTTCAGGCGAATGTATGAAAAAGAATTTCAAAATATCGTCAAATTTTGGCGTAAAATCCAGGCTGTCCAGAACATGGACTGTCTGCGCAGAAGGAGACGAGTAACGACAGTGCAACATCAAACCATTTAACCAAGAGAGATTGCCTGAGTAAGACAGACGAATTCAAACACTCATACATCGTTTGAGAACGGTTGGATGTATGTGCGACGGTAAAAAAATCACGTCTCGACTAGTCAGTCCAACGCTCTGCACATGAAATGATTAAGGTTGTCGGTCAGCCGTAACAACCGCGCACAACACGTGGTAGAAACGGCTGGTTCCGATAAGATAACCAATTATTCCTGTTCCCCAAAGGCTTTTCCATTTGTTCTCGCTGTTTTTTGTGTGTGCCAAAACCTTCCAGCCGTTAGAGATTGCCCGAAACACCGTGTTGTCCCTTTTGTGTTATTCACCCCTTTTCGTGTAATTTCAGTGCATCAAATTGCATCCAATTGAGCTACACAGCATGTGAACTGACTACTTCTGTCAGTTGATGCTAGGAACGTTTAACAAAATCACTCTGGAGAGATGACTTACCTCGAACTTTTGCAGTTGGGATGAGTGGACTACTGGCAGGAAAAGGGGGCACAACCTGATTATCGGTGCATGGGTGGTGGCGTAGAGTTGGAGGTGAGGAGTCCGATGCTGCAGCGCGGAAGCCAGTCGAGTCCTCAGTGGGGACACTGTGAGCGAGCGCAGAATATACAAAGGTCAATTCGACCAAGGGCTAACCGTTAACAATTCAGATTTGAAGATAAACGGTAATGGATAGTCGTGGTGATTAGCAATAACAATAATACAAGTGGTAATCACCTACGATGGTGAAACAAAATAAAGTGTGGTCTAACTATATCCCCTACTTGATCACCAAATTATTAACGTGCTTCCCTCATGCCTAAGGCCATTGCCCAGTCTTAGCTGTAAGACCACTGTCCGGAGGCCAGCCGTCCCTGATGACCCAACATCACATCATTTAGACGGATGTGTCACGTGCAGGACACGGACTAAACGATGGCATGCCCTGATTGGTCAGAATGCCAGCCAATCCCAATCGAGCATCTTTGACTCGGCGCTTCTTGTCCCCTCACGGAGATCCTAGCACGACCTTGTGGAACACTCTGTGATTACCCTATGAATACAGTTGCAATAATTTTTCTTTGTCATCATATATGGCTGTGTAGAGCTACCGTGCCTTTTGATATACCATACTGGGCGGAGCAGGAAGCCAAGGGACCATACAGAGTGCCCTAACCGTTCAGAAGACACAACAACCATCGTGAAGGTGTATGAATGTAGAACAGTATGTAAGAATCTTCATCTCTAGACTTATTTTTTACAGTAAGAAGCCGATCAGATGCTGCATTTGTCTGCACTATAGATTCCCACTGTACTGTAAAGGTCACCCTGCGGGCGCAAGATCGAAAAATCATCGTTTGAATAAAGGTGCATGGTTCAGTAAAATAGTCGTGATCCCAAAAACTACGAAGGAAGACTGTTTGCACTCTCGAATTTCCGATAGATGTAGTCGTGTTGTATGCTTCTTCTTTCGAATGTGTCCTGGCAACAAGAAATTGTATAAGCTACTTTCAAAATGGGTACAGTCATCTCCAACGATCGAAAGAGGAGAAGTGTACTGGCGATTCATCAAAACAGAGTTCAGAAGAAATCCAGGACAGACAGTTAGCTCCCGTGTTGCATCGCCCGAATTTAAAGAAAGATGTACTTACTCTGAATTGTACAGTACTGCAGCACAGCTAGTCACTCATCAACAAATAGCCCTTTCCGTACACCTATTTCTGCCAAAAGCATAATTTCACACCAGAGACTGGATCACTGTATCAAACTCCAATGAGCACAATTATATTATACTACTAATAGCAGTAAAACAAAGAATACACTCACTCGCTGACTTTATACTTTGGTAGGGTTGCGGCGTATGCGTTTCCAGGACTCGGATAGACTGGCTTACGCTCTTTGCGTCTGCTGGAACGAGCAGAGTGGGAAGGTTTCCTACACTGTCGGTGAGTGTGCTACGAGCAAAGCGAAAAATAGACAAGGGAAATGGAGAATAACAGTGTCCCTAATCCTTGTTCAAAGGATCGAGATGAACAGATGTGGATGAAAACACGGAGAGATGCAAACTAAGTGCTTGATGAGAATGTATAAAGCGGACCGATGCAGACCGACGGGAAGGTGTTAAAACCAAGCACAGAGGTTTAGTTCGGTGAATGAAACCAGTCAGGGAGCTAAAAGTAGGCTAGTTGGATCCATAGCTTATGCAGCACCTGCACGTCCAACATACACTTCAATTGATGAGGTTGTAAGATGACATTGCCGGAATGCTTTCGGACGCACTTTTACTTGTGGGGTTATCAGGAAGGTAAGCCTCCTGAAAGCAACCACTGAATGCCCGAAAACTACCGAGATTCCCAGCTTCGCTGGACAGAAAACACCCCCTCAACACGCAGCGCGTCACAGCCTTGTATCAAACCCAGACAGCGCGAGTCAGCGTTGATCAAGGTTGGACAACGCCCCCGCAATATGCAGCACGTCGCAGCCTCGTACCAAAGCCAGACCGTGTGCGTCAGCATTGGACCAAGTTCAGACGGTGTCCCTCGAATAAATAGCTTGAGAACGTTGTACATTCGCACTCGCACGCACTCACGCTCTCGCACTCGCTTGTTCGAAATGTAGCTGTTGTGCTCCTTTCTATGAGTGTTTTTTCTCCGGCACCAGGCACTGGAGCGGGTCAGCAGCAGATACCTCAGATTGGCGAATCAGCAGATATAACAGGGGTACAAGCTCTTATTAAACCCGTTGTTTGATTTAACCATCTGTCAAGGTCGCTATTTAAATCATTTGGGAGTACAATGAATGCGGGCAACATGCTCGGCTAGACTTGATCCGAGGGCATCCAAATTTCCGATACAGTGATGCTCCATTTTGTATTTTTAGTGCAACTGTTCCATCCCACCATAATGATTTCCGAAATATGAATCTGGTGGCTACACAAGAGAATTTCGTTGACCCGAACTTTTCACTGAGCTTGGTACTGTTACTGCAATCGTTTGATTACCATTACTTTTCACCAGATACGAGGTGACCTTCGATTATGATTGGACTCTTTGCTCGTGTCCTGATTTGAGCCTAAACTCTCTCATTTTACCTGCTTGATCCTGCGATCGATTTTATCGTCGATCCGTCTTTCTGATATTCGGTTTCGCCTGCATTCTCTACTTGAAACCGTGACCTCTTACTCGTAGCTGTGGGTAATTTGGATGCCATTCAGCATAAACAAAGACTGCCTTCGTCGTCTCGACTTGTTAGGTCGTTAGGACCATCGGCCTGCCGGAAGATGGTCCCCAGACCACTGAGATTTCGCGCAGTGCAACAGAAACAGACAAGTTTCTAACGCTTGTCTTTGTAAGATTCAACTCAGCTGACTTTGTTGAAAGCAAGAAAAACGAGTCCTTAATTGGTTGGGGTAAAGTGAACAAAATTTCTTCCTCATGCCAGAACGAGTCCACCTGCTTTCGTTTTATCGTAAACACTCCCGTGAACGGTACAATGGCCGATGTGTGGCGGGGTTCGAATGACGCGTGTTGAATCGTAGGGATAAGGTGATATAAATAAGCCTTGGGGAGGGGGTGATATGTGAAGATACTCTAATGACCAGGTTTGAAGGTGGATCATTAGGGAACACCAAGGTTTTTGCATACCAGGTGGCTCGCTGAGGTTTGTTTAGATGGGTTCTACCTATGTGCATACACCATCCGTAAGAGTGATTTTTATAGACACACACGGGAGTTTTGAACTGAGACGTACAAGACTGGACAATGAGTCTGTTCCTTTAAAAAGCCGGTTGTTTCTAAACGATATAGTCCACGTAATTTTATCTAACAAGTTGCCGACGGCGGTCTGGTTACAGGAATGATTACATCAAAAGCCGATACAGAGGAAATTTTTATTCGTCAAACCGCTTGTGTGAGACCGCATATCAGAAACCTCGCAGTACTTGAGTTTCTTCCTAATGGGACATGCAAAAACAGCGAAAGTCGATCGCACACTAGTGGTAATGCTCTTTCGACAAGATGATTGACCTGGTTGTAAAGAAAAAAGTGTGGATTTTTTTCGAAAGCGATTCGTGTATTGATAAGAAACGGACGACAGATTCAAGGAGTACCTGGAATAAAATGCCTAGACAGCCAAAATACGCGGGCATTTTCATACGTTCTGTAGATGGCCTGAGCATAAATTTGGTTTCAGAAAAATACGAAATTATTTACTATTCGACTGGGAAAAAACGGAGTGAGAATGTCGAAACGTCAGACTTGGTCGAAACAGTCGAAGAGTCATGGGGGCAGCAACTAGGATCAAACCAAGTAAAAAATTTTGTGTGAGTCTCTTAGAAATACAAGTAGCTTATTAAACACAAGAACCCGGAAGGAGTTTGCAGGAACGCTGACGGATACTGACACAGTATCGTCGCTTTGATATTTGGTTGTAACAGGTTACCGCAGGTTTTAATTGGCATGACAGTTGTACACGCGAACGTAAAACGGTCATCGACCCATTTCAGGTCCAACAACAATGCTCACGTTCCAGATCAACAACAGCTGTTCTACGCATAAATTTGCTGAAAACTCCCGACAGCGCACGACCGGTTTCGCCCATCTTGGGCTTATCATCGAGGAGTTTTCAGTGCGTTGTAAATATACACATGTATCGCGATATCTCGAATATCGTAGCGACTGAAACATGAGGCGGCCTGGTGCAGTACATTCAGTTGCCTGGAAACATCAAAACCGAGGGACTCAGCTGGGTTCCAGGTGAGTCTCCCGCAAAACCAAATTAGTTTGAAAGTGAGTGTATCTAGCTGATTTATTGTAATCTGGTTCCAAGTAGAACTAAGGTTGACGAATATTAATAGACTGCGCCTACCTGATGAGCCCCAAGATGGGCAAAACCGGTCGTGGACTGTCGAAGAATTTTCATCAACCTTGTGAGTAATGTAACGCGAATATACATGTATCTTGTTATCTTGAATATCATAGCAACTGAAACGTGACGCGGCCTGGTGCAGCACATTCAGTTGCCTGGATACATCACAAACGAAAGATTCATCTGGGTTCCAGGTAAGTCTCTTGCAAATTCAAATTTGTTTGCGAATGAGTGTATTTCGCTAACAGCTGCTCCAGTTCATCGTGCGCTTAGAGCAACTTATATGTTGGGTCTGATAGTGAACGAGGCTCGCATGGTATCGCCTCACCGGATGAGCCACGTACATCTGATGGGTATAATCAACTGCCTAAATAAAGTGTCCTTGTAGACAGGTTGCCCTATGCAGTGTTTAAACTTGCAATTTTATCTAGCATTAAGCCCGTTTTTTGTTTATTTATGGGGGATTTCTGCCAATTTCCAAATTAATCAAATGGATACCTGTATCAAGACACTATCGATATTGCTCTGTGAAGTACGTATTCACACCCTGTAAAGGCTGTGTAGGCCCAGGACGTGTGAGTTATCATTCCAAAAGAAGATAATGAGATTTCCGAAAGGGTTGATTTTCGGGAAAAATGTGCATTCTCCGGAAGCTCAGCTTCCATTCAGAAGGTCACTGTCATAAGATAATATTGTAGGAAAATTCGCACATCAATGTGACACTCATTTGCATACCAATCTGGTTTTGCGGGAGAACTACCTGGAACCCAGTTCAATCTCTCGTTTACGATGTTTTTAAGCTCCTAGTAATTCTGATTATTTCCGGTAGACCTCCTGGAACCCAGTTCAATCTCTCGTATACGATGTTTTTAAGCTCCTAGTAATTCTGATTATACTGTTAATATAACTGAAGTAAAATGAGACGTCAATGCGGCCTTACGGGGCCGGACATTTTGAATACTACATAAAAACCTGCGATTTATCCGTGAAAGAAAATGGGTGTTAAACCCAGTGAATTGTTGAACATTCATTAGATTCGAAGGTGAAGTTTCACTCTTTGTCTACTGTCCTGTCAATGGGACGTTCTATGCTGAAAAGCCGAGCAGCCGAGCGCATCGCACCAGACTCAAAGAGTTTCAAACCCGTTCAACGGAAGAACAGTTTCACAGGATGAAGCTTCCATCTTCAGTCGTTGGGCCAGTCTGTCCACAGGTGAGAACGTGATGCGGTCTCTGTGTCCCGTCTAAGTAAGAGCACCACACAGCAACGACTCGTGGCCAAACGGTTTGGTGTTTATAAAGGAAACTACTCACAAGGTTGCTGAAAACTCTTCGACAGCCCACGACCGGTTCTGTCCTTCTTGGGGTTAACCAGGTAGGCGCAGTCCCCGAGTTTCCCTCAACCTTATGTTCTACTTGAACCCAAATTGGACTGCTTTCGAGAAACAAACTCATTTGCAACTCAGTTTGGTTTTCACGAGAGACCCAATTGAATCTTTCTCTCAGTCACTAGCCGAAAGATCGAGGGTTTCCAAACTCGGTTGTGCCAATCCGCGCTGTTCCTTCCATTGGGAGCAGTTAAGGGCTTTAACCTTGGAATTCTGCATTTGGCAAGCCATACGGTCTGTAACGCACATCTGTGCAGAGATGCGCTGGACTTCACGCGTGGGCTAATGAGTCACAAATTTGCTCAGCGAGTTGTGCCTGGAATGTGGAGACACTGCGCAGGATGCATGAGGTGTGCGTCTTTGATGCTTCCAACAAGCAGAGGCGTGAAGGTCACTGTACACAAAACTACTTGGGTATTCTTCGTAACAGCAACTGTAGGTTGTTTACCAACAAGAAATAGGTGATTTCAACTGAAAAGTAGATCACCAACCTTAACACAACATGGTGAATCTCCGTGGTATGTTCTGTTGTTTTGGGAACTCAAAATTGAAGAGCACCACAGGCAAAAGCAGTTGTATCGCATTTGGTTACGCCAAATGATTGTGCATGCATTAGCGGTCGTTCGAAATTACGTCCGGGGGGGGGGGGCATGAATGAATGTGGCATTCGGATGACATACGCGCACGGGTAAATCTATCATG